TAGAGAGAGTATATATAGCGTTTGATATTTTGCAAAGTGATGGGCATTTTATATTTATATCTATTAGTATACAATCTAATTTTTAGTTATACATATAATGACTCGAAATGTAATTTATAAACATGCCACATATAGAATCGTAGAGTCATTTGGGCTGGAAGGGACCTTGCGAGGTCATCCAGTCCAACCCCCCTGCGGTGAGCAGGGACATCTCCAATATTATAGCAATATCATATATAAATACATGGATAAATTATATATAATGCATAAAAATGTTATGTATTGCATTGATATATAATATATATTATAGAAAAACATTTGAAAGCCCCTATATATGCACAATATGTATAAAGGTTTACTATATTCTAGTTCTTATATTACAGCACTATATAATACGTAGCTTATTATTACAGTACACGTATACTATGTACAATTTTGTACACGTGTGTGTATTCCATGTAATCCGGCCGCGATGGGAGGACCGCTTTCGATCGGGAAGGACCTTTAGCTCCTGGGTCAGGCAGAGCCGGGCTGAAACAGGGTGATGCTTGGGAGGAACAGCACATCTCAAAATGCCGTTTGTCTGAACCGCCAGGGAGGAGACTCTTTGCCTGGCAAGTGAAAGCATGCTCCGTTCCAAAAAAAAGACCCTCAGACGGCTCAGCGCCGTTGTGCATTTCTCGCTGAGCTCCTTCGGTTGTCGTCAGCTAACCTCTCCCTGCTCCCTGCCAGCACCACCGCTTTGGGCCCTGCTCCTCACAGAAGACTTTGTTAGAACAAGTGCAAGAGGCTCGGTTTGTTGTGCCTTGTAAAAAAAAAAATAATCCTTTTTACAAGGATTTAATTTGGAGTTAGCGCTTGCTGAGCACACGCAGCGGTGTGGGATGAGAGCGCTTTATATGAGTTCGCGGGGGGACGAGGGAGCCGTTCTTGCTCCCAAGTGCTGAACTGGGATGGAGGGGTTCAGCTTGAGATGAGCGGGGTTTTGAGCCCCTCTTTTACAATCAGGGAAAACCAAAAAGGCACGCTCCTTTATTGTACTAAAATTAGAAATTTATAAAAATTCTGTTTATGGTCTCATCCTGGAGGCAGTTGTCCTGGGGCGAGGAAAGGCAGCTGACGTTCAGTGCATCAGCTTTGGATGCAAGAGTCTGGACAAGCGTTTGGTGCCGTATGCTGAAGAAGGGTTTAATGAGTCCTGACTCACTTCTGTGCTCCTTGAGCTTTTCGTTCCATTCCCATTTTCCAACAGCCGAGTTCGCAGCACGCTGCTGAGCCAACGCTCCTGTTCCACCAGCTGGTATTGATAAACTGCAAACCCTTGGGCATTTTCTGGCTTTGCTGGTTTCTTTTTCCTGAGGATTATTTGGGATGCAGTAGCATAGATTTTTAACTGATACCTTTTGCGTAGCAGAGTCAGCACTTCCAAGCCATACGGACCAAGGACTCATGTCTGGTCCCGTCCTCTCGCGGGCAGCTCTGCTGCTTTGCCCTGGGTGCCTGCAATTGTAGAGAGAGCGAACAAGAGATGACAGCTGGATGTTGGAGCGGTTTGGACATGAAAAGTGGAGGAGGAGGAGGAGGTTTGTGCTCTGTCACTTGTGGAAGAGCCTCTCCCCGCTTCCTGGGAGTGACGAGCAGCTAGCGATGCTGCGCAGCGAATGCTTAGCCCTGCGTTACTGGGGGGATTTTGGGGTGCGAGTTTGATGAGTTTGGGGGTTTTGAGCCTCCTGGCTGTCACCCTGCACTAACCCAAGGCAGCAGCCTGCCCTGCGTCCGTTATTCTGCCCAGCACGACTTCGGTGGTGGTGCTGCTGGGTTGTGGGCTTGATTCTCCAGCCAGGCCAGAACTGCGAAGCCCTGAGAAAGCTGTGAGCTCTCGCGTGGGGCTAATTCCCGCGTGTGACTGCTTTGCTGGAAGGGGGGCATCGTGCCACGGGCAGCGCTGCTCGACTGCAGGCTGCTTGTCTGGAGGAAAACCTGAGTGGCCGAGGCGCCCAGGCAGAGTTTTGTGTCATTTTAAAGGCAGTGGGACGTGGCATCTGCTGACCCCAGGGATCTTTTCAGTTCCAGGGAGGCGTGTGGTCCCTCAGCACGGTGCTGTGCGATGCCCTGATGACCATGGACGTGATGCTGTGCACAGCCTCCATCTTCAACCTCTGTGCGATCAGCGTGGATCGGTGAGTGCCTTCCTCCTCCCTGTCCCAGAGGAGGGAGCGCTGTGTCCTGGCATCCAGCTGCTTCCATACACGCTCTGGCAAGGATCCCACGCAGGGATGCCAGCCCCTGTTCTGCCCTGAGGAGGGTGTTGTGCCCTGCCCTCCTCCCCCACCACAGCTTTGTGCCCCATCGGTGCCCAAGCTGACAGCACAGTTGGGTGATGAGACCCAAGCCGTCCCTTCGGGTGCTCTTCTTCGGGGGGGGGCAGGTGGGTTGTAGCCCAGGCCTTGGCTGTGTAAGTGAATTAATGGGGGGGAAGGACAGTGGCAAGCAGCTTTGGGACCACTCGCTTACGTTACCAGCGGTGACACCAGCATACTGGTACTGACTCACCCGGGGCCTCTGTTGGCAGGTTTATCGCCGTTTCAATCCCACTGAACTACAACCGGCGACAAATCGACCTGCGGCAGTTGATCCTTATATCCACCACCTGGATATTCGCCTTGGCTGTAGCATCCCCAGTCATATTTGGCCTCAACAACGTCCCAAACCGGGACCCCAGCTTGTGTCAGCTGGAGGATGACAACTACATTGTGTACTCCTCCATCTGCTCCTTCTTCATCCCTTGCCCCGTCATGCTGGTGCTGTACTGTGCCATGTTCCGAGGACTCAAGCGCTGGGAAGAAGCCAGGAAGGCCAAGCTGAGGGGCGGCATCTATGGGGCCAGCAGGAAGCTCTATCACCCCTCAACCTTTACGGAGAGAGAGCAGGCGGGACTGGAGCCGGAGGAGGGCAACCCTTACACCCACTCTGGCCACGCTGGGGACTACGGGATGAACAATGGGATCCAGACTGTCTCCTACCCACACCTCAAGTATCCGCACCCAGGACACAGTCGGAAGCGGGCCAAGATCAACGGCCGGGAGCGGAAGGCCATGCGGGTCCTGCCTGTTGTTGTCGGTGAGTAGCAGTCGGTGGTAGTTGGGGAAGGGTGAGAAGCCGCGTTGGCCTACCACAGGGGCCGGTCTGGCAGGACTTGTTTGAACCTGGCAAAGCGAACACACGCTTTGCGGACTCCCCTCCCGGGAGCCAAACTGCCCAGGCACGGGCGCTTGGGCAGCGATGAGAGGAGTCACCCTGAGAACCACGCTTTATCCTCGCTGGAGGGGGCGAGGGTGAGATAAAAGCCACCTCCCCTGTGCCATGTCTTTGGTCCTCCTCCTTCTCCGTCACCTGTGGATTCGTTTGAACACCCACCCTCCCCTTGTTCCTGTGGGACAGCCTGGTTGCGGCTGAAGACCTGCTGTACCCCTCTGTCGTTGCGAGGGGATGTTGGTCCAGCGGACATCTTGGTGCCCCTTTGAGCCCGAGCAGTGCCAACAGCCACCACCCTTGGGAAACAGCGTATGTACGGTGTTTATAACCGAGCCTTTTGTTCAAGGTAAACCTGCGATCTTAAATGCAAATCCAAAATTATACATAACGTAGACTTTTCATCAATGTTTAGGGCGAGAAAGACATCCTAAATTTCTCGTTTGGGCATAAGCCCAGCCCTACCTGTCAGCACATCTGCTCCTTTCTCCCTAAGCACTCTGCGCTGTCTCCATTCTTGTTTGGCCCAGGCTGCCTTTGTTAAATTAATCCCTTTTTAACATTCCCATCACCTTCTCTCTTTCATGTCCTCCTGGCAGGTGCTTTCCTCTTCTGCTGGACACCCTTTTTTGTGGTCCACATTACCAGGGCTCTCTGCAAGTCCTGCACCATTCCCACTCAAGTCACCAGCACTGTCACTTGGCTGGGTTACGTCAACAGTGCTCTCAACCCCATCATTTACACCGTTTTCAACACGGAGTTCAGGAACTTCTTCCGCAAAACCTTGCACCTCTTCTGCTGAGCCCACCAGAACGGGTGGGGAGAACGAACGACCAGGCTGGTTTTTTGTATAGTTCATTAAAGATCTATTTCTGCCTAAGGTCTGCTGTCTTTGTTGGGGAGGAGGGAAGGAGGAGAGGAGGCAGCCGAAGGCTGCTGGTCCCCAGCTCTTTGTAATGAGGCGTTACAGGTGAGTACCAGTGGCTACAGCTCGGATACTCTCCCTGCTGGATTTCTGGAAGCTGCAGCCGTAGCCACTTTTTTAACACTTGACGTAAGCGGTAAGAGAGGCCACAGGAGAGCGGGGATGGTTCTCGGAACAGCTCTGCTTTGGAGGTAGGCGTTTGGTCTGGTCTGGGCTTCTCTTTGCTGTCCCTAAGCAGAGTAAAACACCCCTCAGCCCCACCACGAGCCAGGGAGGCAGGAGAGCTTTGAAGCTCGCAGCTGCTCTGGTCCTGGGAGGCGCAGACAAATTCCCTGCTCTCCCCCCTGCTCGGGGGGAATCCTCCCAGCTCCATCTCAAGAAGCGTTCCCGAAGGAGCCCTCCCCAGCCGCAGCCCAGCCTGGCACCGGCCCATCCCCACCAGTTCCATATGATTTAAACTGTGAGGACAAACCAACCTGGTGAGCGCAGAGCACGCTCAAGCCCTGCTGATGCACGCGAGGACGTCGCGAGCCTGCTCTCCCCCCTGCTCGGGGGGAATCCTCCCAGCTCCATCTCAAGAAGCGTTCCCGAAGGAGCCCTCCCCAGCCGCAGCCCAGCCTGGCACCGGCCCATCCCCACCAGTTCCATATGATTTAAACTGTGAGGACAAACCAACCTGGTGAGCGCAGAGCACGCTCAAGCCCTGCTGATGCACGCGAGGACGTCGCGAGCATCTCCCGGAGCGGGGCTGCTTCCTTTGTGCCACGAAAAGAAGCCCCCGGGGGGGGCAGGAAAGGACAAGCACAGTCATTCAGCCCACTTTCGTTCAGAAGTGGCTCTGGGCAGAGCTTTAGCTGGGCACAGACTGATGAGGATCATAAATTGTGGGTTTGGTTTTTCCTTTTTTTTTGCATCATTTTGTTGGCAAGCCTGGCTGTCCTGCAGCAGGGCCCCAGGTGCTGCTTGAGCTGCCTTCAGCTGGCTCTGGGCCCGCCCTGGCCTCTTCGGGCTGCTGGGGTGGCATTAACAGGGCTGTGAGGTAACGTGGACGGGAGTCGGGGGGGAAAAAAGGCTGTTAAGCTCATGTCGCAGATGTTCACTTGCCAGATGAAGGTGTATCTACCTGTGCAACCTCCTTTCTCTTACCCTTGATAATTTTAGAGCCAAAGACTGATTCTACTCATGTTTGACAGAGGGACATTAAGGTCCTACAAAAAAACACCCAACCCAAACAAAATGGCCCTGTCCAGTATTCCTAACGAAGGGGGGCCCTGGCTGAGAAATGCCAAAATTTGGCCAAGACCTGGAGAAATCTAAAGTGGCTGCTGGGGCGGAGGGGGAGGGGTCGCACTGCTCTCGGATCCCACGTCTTGAAGTGCAGCGTCCATTCCCGACGCCGGGCTGAGGAGGAGACCCGAGCACAACTGATGGCTCGCAGCCTCACTCACAAAACGGCCTTGCCTTCCGAATTGTTGTAGTTTCCCTGCGTGGGAATGGCGCCGGGTCACGCTCAGGCTGCTGGGGCACAGAACACGCGAGGCTAGTGAGGATGAGAGGCGCGAGGTCCTCGTAAGAGGGCATGTGGCTGCCCAGCTGTAATTTTAGACTTACCCATCCAAAAGCACCATGGTGTTACTGGTAGTTCTCCAGACCTCCTTCCCAAGCCGTACGATACCTGCCGGGAACCATTTCCAGCCTGCGGGAAAAAAATCCTTTATACCTTTTGGCAAAGCGGAGCACATGACACCAAGGGCAGCCCGAGGGAGCAGGCAGTGCCGGTGGATGAGGCTCAGGAGGGAAGAAAATGATTATTGCACAAACCAGCAATCTTCCGAGTAATGATTTTTGTGTAGGGCTGCTGCTCTGCAAGGGGTAATTTGTTTGCTTAGAAACAAAAGGAGAAAAAATACTGCAGGGAGGTCTTAAGCTTTTCTTTGACTAAGAGTAACAATTGCCTAATCAATTTATCATCAACAAATAAACATATGAAATTCCCACAGTGATTATGTTGTAAGTTTTTGAGTTTTGTAGTTTGCCACCATGTTGGGGCGCAGCTGCCCAGATACCAGGGCTCCGCTGGGCAGCTCCCCCAGAGCTTTAGTTGCAGGTGAGTCATATCTACAATTTTTTCATTTAAGAAAGTTGCGCCACTCTCTCCCAAACTTTTTTTTCCCTTAAAAGGTGAGTAAGG